CCACCACACACACACACATATATATATATATATATATATATAATCACTCATGATCTTACAGTTGTATCTAATTTAAAAAACTTATTACATTAAATATTATTTATAATGGATAATTTTCTTTTGCATATGTTCAATACTATTAAAATCAAGGTATACCAACAGCCACTATTACAAAAAAAAAGACAGTCCTTGTAGACAACAATAAGTAATTCAACAGATTCCAAAAAAATACACAATCTTGTCATCAAATATATATCAATCTTTGTTTTTTCTAGTAAATAAAACAGGTATTGATCTGATATTAAATTTAGCATTACATTTCTTGTTTCCATCCAATTTTTAAAATTAAAATGTTACTTATCAATATGTCAATCAGTTTCAGACTCAAGTCCACACAGTTCACTCACGGTTTCTTGGGAAATGCCACTTTCATGGCCTTATGAACACTATTACTTGTTTTGAATTTTGCTTTTTTATCTCAGCATTGATAACCCTGTACAGTCCACTCACTGTTTTTTTTGTAGGAGTCAAACATTGAGATTAATCAAGCCTTAAGACTTAACACACTAATTTTTTGTAGGAGCCTAACACTGAGGTTAACTATGCTTTAAGTATGAACTCACTAATTGTTTGTAGGAGTTTAACACTGAGGTTAATCAAGCCTTAAAACTCAACTCATTAATTTTTTGTAGGAGCCTAACACTGAGGTTAACTATGCTTTAAGAATCAAGTCACTAATTTTTGCAGGAGTCTAACACTGAGGTTAATCAAGCCTTGAGACTCAACTCACTAATTTTTTTAGGATAATCAAGCCTTAGGACTCACCTGAAAGGGTAAAGCAACTGAAAATTCTTGGCCATCACTGAGAAAAACACTCAAGTTTGATGAATCCTGAACACATATGCCATATATTTTGTCTCCTGAAAACGTATTGCACCCACAAACTATATTAGTCAACTGAATAAACACAGCATTAGCACAGTTTAAGTGTGAAACATTTTTAACTTGAAATATTAACCATAGATCACAAACTCACATATTTGTAATTAAGCCTAAGAAATGATCTTACATCATTTTTTTAATAGTTTTAGGTTTACTTGGTGGAATTATTTTAAGTACCTAGGTTGTAAATTTTATAGTAACCTTCATAAATGATGGATTCTTAGCAGTCTCTAGAAATATAATACATTTAGTTATTAGAACATAACTGCAGTGTTTTTGTCTAACATTTTTCCAAGTTTCTACATACATACACACAAATCAAAGCATTTCTATTAAAACAATAGCATATGAAAATTAAAAATTGTAAATTATTTTATTCAAAATTAATGGCAAAGAAAAATTATGAATTACCTTTATCAGGATGAACATCAACTTCGGTTCTTAACTGGGGTTTATCATCCTTATTACAAAAAACACTCCACAGTGCCTACAATAGATTAAAATACATTGCTGGCAACCTATTAATTACCACAAACTGACCATAATAAAGTTTTTCATTACCCAGTCAAGCCATCTCAAAACTTTTGTTTTCTAAAAAGTGGGTTACTCATTATCAAGTTTTAATTCATTATGCGATTACTCGAGGTAATTCTAATTTGTGTAATTATAAACATTTGTTCTGTTGTTCTAGGTATATCTTTCCAGTATGCTCCCTCATTTGTCCACCACCATAACTGTATCGTACCATGCAACTATCTCCAAACTTCACAATCCAAATGTAAAAATCATCAAAAGGAGAAACAATATTTCCTTCCCCAGATAATGCCACTTTAAACAGTTAATTCTCAACTTTGTCAAAGTCAAATCATCCAAAAACTTAAACCAATTTACAGGTGTCATCCAAACATAAAAAATAGCCTACAAATTTCTAAAAGCTATCCTGATTTCCAAATATCAAGAACTAAACTACCAACATGCCTGCTACCTTGAACCAGATGAGTACAACAATATACAATGGACCATCAACCAAAGCAACTCCATACTAAATCAAGAGAAGATATCTGTACACAACAAAAAGACTGTGAAGCAGTATATACTCATATATCTCAGTAAACTACTTGTACCTGAGGATGACAAAATCTTGTCGAAACATCATACATTTATAATCAGTTTTTTCATTACACAGTCCAGCCATCTCAAAACTTTTACTTTCTAAAAAGTGGGTTCCTAGTTATCAAGTGACCATAAAGTAATCAGAAAGTACCACAAACTAAACAACAAACTCAATAAATAAGACAAAAACATATTTAAGTAAATATATTTTATTGCTTTGCAATGAAGTACTTTACAGTAAGAAAACTTTTTAAAATGAGAATATCAAAAGATAACTTTAATAATGTTTTTATATACAGAACACAGTTAATGGAAATAAGCTTATAAGCTAACAAAATATTAGCAAAAGGCTTAACAACAGACACTGTCATGAACTGATAAAATGGCTCAATCTTCATTGTAATTATGGTTTCTACAAATGAAATTACAATGTAGTTGTGACTGACAATATCTGACTTTATTACATGTGTACTTGTGGTGCCTTGTGGTCAGTTTGTCATATTTTGTGGTACTTCGTAGGACTGCATCACTGTATTGAACAAACAAGTGAATGTGTATACCTACAAGTTGTATAGTTTGACATTTATAAGAACTAAAAAGTGCTATAATGTGTAATACTTTAATTTGTTAAATACCATAAATCATTTCTTTTCTTACATGTACCTTCCATTAAGCATATCAGTTTGCATGTAGGTATGTTCTACTTGGCATTTAAGAATTTTATTTTACAAAAATTAGCATAAGCATTCCAATGTAAGCAACAACATACATGTGGTGAACTCTCAACATCTATTAACAAAGCCACAAAACATAAACCCCTATTTTTTATCATCATGGCTCAAGTTCTTTTAGTTGATTTCTATTACCTGTTGGACACAGTTTTCCACAGTAAATATTTTTTCAACTTTTTGAGTTCCATGCTCACTAGTTTTACTCCACACTACACTACACCCACGGATAAAGATCTCCTCCTCTCCTTCTTCATCAGGTATCTTCCGTAAAAGGAATCTTTCTCTCTGAACAGAAAAACAAAAAATTATTTATAGGAATCATTTATGTATTTTTGAAAAAATGTATTTCACAAGTATCCTATGACTTGTTAGTGATATAATAAACAATTGCCTGTTGCAAAAATAATGAATTTGAAAACAAATTTGTGATAGTTTTCACAGTTAGTTAAGCTTAAAATATAGTAGTCTGATGTGCTTTAGGCCAACTAGTATGATGAATATTACAGATGAATAGATAAGTTTTTACACATTATATTCTTAGCTTGTTCATTACAAGTTTCCATTGAAACAACCACAACAGATTTCAACAAGGAATGTTTGAACACGCATCATATCTTAATACTAACAATAAAAATCATCTTTTCTACTGTTTTTGTGCCTTTAACTTCATTTGATGCTCATTCACAAAACTATTATATGTATATCAACTTGATATTTACACATTTTTTCAAGCATGTAATTCAAATTGAATCTTACTCATTCTAAACTTAATTGGCACAATACTGATTCTCCTTAACACAAATGTTAGGAAAATGCTAGTGCTACCAATTCCATATAAGCTGCTTTTTTTAAAGCTCATGTTTTGCTGGTTCAGAAACATCTGTTAAATCCACAGTCATATGAATATACAACTTTAGCTTGAGGTTGAGATACTCAACTTCTGACCCTTACAAATATAAATAATTATAATCCCTGTATTTGTTTTTACAAGTAACATGGATCCTTCCATTTAGGTGTTTTTTATGAACTAAATTTGGCTGCTTTGCAAAAAACAAGTTTTAAAACATATGAGATCTGATTTACTATAAATTAACATCATTATATCACAGTATAAAGATTCATTACATTAGATGAACTAGGAGTTGGTCGATTGAAGAAAATGGTTGAACTTATGAACTAATATAACTGCTGTCACCTTTCATTCTCCTTGTGTTTTGAATTAGATTATTTACATTACAGCTACAAAAGTTTAAAAAAATTGCTATACATTTCATGCCACCAAAGGGGGAGGTTTGACATTAATATTTCAAAGTATTATGAAATCAGTAACAAATATTTTATACGATTACAAATACCTCTTGGATATCCTGCAGTGAGACTCCTTTTAAAGCCTTTAGGATGTCTCTGTTAGTGTCTTGAACAATGTCCCCTGACAATGTGACATCTGTGCGCAAGTACACATCTCCAGGATGTTGGGCAAGACACTCACACCCATAGGGAACAAACTCCTGGGGGGTTCCTGCCGCAATCATTGCCTCTTGAACATCCAGATTTGCTGATGCTATTCTTTAACAAACCTGAAATAATTCACACTACATAACAATAATGCTTCGGTCTAAAACAAAAAATTAGATGGATGTTAAAGAAGCACTTGTACTAGTAGTACTACGAATTCTAGTAGTGGTACGGAACTCGAGTTTTAACCTTGCTCGGTTAAATCTTAAGACAAGTATGAAAAAATATGTGTCGTATCATTTACTTAGTTACTTAGTAATACTATTAGTAGTAGTAGTCAGTTTAAAAGTTTCATTTTTCGCGTAACTCTTTTAATTTTTTTTTATAAAATACCTCAACACCAACAAAAGTTTTCACAAATCGATGTATCGTTAATCCTCTTATACATTAATTTTATCTTTTTTATATATATTTTAAATCATTGTAATTCACAAAGCTTATATTTCAAAAAAAAATGTGTTTACTTACAAACTAACGTTACAGCATACCAATGTCGACACTAACTCCATGCGAATCCCCGCTACTTAACGTGTGCAGTAGAGGGCACTTTAATAGTGAAAATATATTTTATTGTGCAATGTTATTTGAAAGTGTAATATTTGACAATACGTAACTTTCACTTATTGTGCACACTTTGTAATTAAGCACAAAGCTACACAATGGGATATCTGTGCTCTGCCCACTACGAGTATCGAAACCTGGTTTCTAGCGTTGTAAATCCGCAGACATACAACTGTGCTATTGTACACATAATAATCTAATCGGATGTTGGTGTACTTTGGTGACAGATTTTCTTGTAGGCAGATTTTGTTAAACAAGACCGATGTCTGT